CCTCAACATTTTCTCTAGTGACACCAGCAAGTCAAAGTTTTCATTTGACCAGTAAAACACTTTAGCATCTACCAGAAGGATGGGGAGGCGCGGCATGGTGCTGCAGTGGTTAGCACTGTCAACTCACAGCAAGGTGCTGGGATCAAATTCTGACCTCTGTGTGGAGTTTGTGTGTTCTATCTGTGCATGCAGGTTTTCTCCCATGTCTAAAGTCAGGTTAGGTTAACTGGAGATACTAAATTATTTTTCTATAGGATGGCATCAGGAAGGGCATCTAGTGTAAAAAGTGTGCCAACTGTGCTCCACTGTGGCTGCGGGGAGTTTGCTTAGTGCCATTGTTTTTATAACTTTTAAGTCTAATGTTTTGAGTCTACCTTCTTTAATACTAATCTTTGTGTTGCCTAGTTCCTGGGACCACAGAGTGCACGTCCTGTCCTCGGCCATCTACCCCCTTGCTGTCTTGTAGGCATGCCTGACAGCGTCTCCTCGCTCCGTCTGAAGCTTCTCTCAGAACAGCTGGGTCATACGCAACGTGATCCCCAGTCACCGGTGCCTTGCCAGCACTTAAATATACAGCATGTGTTCATGTGGTTTTGCATATCCAATGCTCATGCATGTCTTAGATGTGAGAAGTGGCACATTCATTAGATTCTCTATGAAAAAGTGGCCTACAAAGGGAGAGACTGTCTACATGTATATTTGGGAAAATATCATCTTGCTCTGACATGTGCTAAGTTTGCTTGTTGTTGTTTTGTTTATGTTTACACTGTAGTGGATGTGGCCTGAACATAGAAAGTTACTTGGTTGCATCAAGGTCATGTCTCAGACAAAGACTCATCACTAGTGACTGGTGGTGTTTTGGTGTCGTACTTTCACGGAGTCCCATGATTTGTTTCAGCTATAGCATGTGGGACACAACATTTCTTATGATGTTTTTCACATTGTTATCTACACTCAGTGTTGTGCCCTAGTTTGTAAGGTTATGTGGGCTTGAGTTTGAAACGGTTATGATCACAGCCAACGAGTGGGCAGATAGAGCTGACGATGCAGGTCTGGGGCGTGGCTCAGTAGACAGTAATGGACATCTGATTAAATAAAATAAAATAAAATAAACACCGTTGTCATAGGTTAGGAGAACAATGCATCTGTGAATTCGGAGGGTTGTTCAGTTGATCCACAACACCAGATGTGGGAATCACATGACCTTTATCTGAATCAGTGATAAACAGCAATGAGCCAGGGAGAGTTGGATTTTGTCCAAGGACTATTTTTCTGATTTTAACACTCAGAAATTTCAGTTTACAGCCACACCTGGCGGCTTTTCATTGCCTCAGCTGTAGCCGGATTGTGCCTGTTTGCTCAGGTATGCACTCACCTGAGCCATGAATCACAAAGTGAAATACTTTGAGAGGTTCATTCCTGTAAAACAGGCCTGTGAATAGTATTTCTCTGAGATAATTTTATTCCTAAACCAATGACGTAGTTCACTGCTACCAGTGTTATCACACAGCTATAATATTTTAAAGGTCATTAGAAAACTCTGTCACTATGATATAAAAATCATTAGTGTGAAACAGCGCTTAGAGTTTGTTAGTAATCAAACCCACAAGGCCTTGCCTAATATCCTCTGCTATTTGGGTTTTAGGAGATTGTTATTTACACGAAGCTCTAGTGTTGTGTCCTGCTGGCGTCAGAATGGACTCTGATGGGAAGAGTGAGTGAGTTAGTAAATGATGCAACAGGTTAAACTGAAATAGAGGTTTCTGTGTTATAGTGGCTTACAGGAAGACAAGAGATACCCTCATCCAGCATGGGGAGCTACGACAGAGCAACCCTGTCACTTACTGTATGTTTTGAATTGATGCAGACAGGTGATCAAGTTCCCCCACCAAACCTGAAGTGCCATTACATTTTGAAATACCCCAACGAGTTCTCCGTGAGTTCAACTATACACGATTTTATAAACGAACCTGTCATTACAATCTAAGTCACAATTTTTCAATAGCATCTGTCCATATCAAATTGAGTCTGTTTCATTTTCCACCCTGGAGATTATTTAAATTGTTTTCATTTTATTTGTTCATTGCGATAAATGTTCAGTTCTGTAAAATTTACAGACCTAAATGCAGTTTCAAACCCTAACACACATTAGCAGAATTTAAATTTTGGGGGCATAAATATTAAATCCCTTTATTATATTTCAATTTTTGCCCTAAAAACAATCAACTTTAATGATATAATCCTTAAATTGCTCATTAAATCAAACCCAGTTTGATTCTACAGCCATATTACTTTATGGTTTATTCTGCAATAACCATTAAATATATTTATATTCTGTAAATACTTTGTCTTATATGCTAGTTTTCATCATTAGTAGTGGAGTCCACCGGGGTAGTAGTAGAAATATCGGTGCAATTTATGGGTTGAATATAAACTGCACCCACTTTACAGTATCTGCTCTTCCTGGAAATGCTCTGCTCAAAGTTCAGTGGCCCAGTGGACTGAGCTGTTTTTCATGTTGAGGCAAACTACTGCTTTAGGAGGACAAGATAAAGGATTGCTGTCTACATGTCAGTACAGATGAATGTCTTTGACTCTTGTGCTGTTACAGATTTCAGAGAAGTTTATGTGGGAGTAGTGACAAAATGAAGTGAGACGTGTTTCTTCTGGCCATCGACGCCCTGCTCAGCTGTTACTCCTTACACATCGCCTCATCTTGTCATCTTGTGTTTACAATAAAAGCCTCTGAATCACTTGTTTTGTACTGCTCAGTTTAAGAAAATCAAAAACAAATGGGACATGTGTACACAGGTCCTGGCCCTGCACACACTCCTATTCGTTTACTCCATTTTCTTTTTTAGAATCTAACAATGTATTCACTTTTGCGCAACCATGCTCCATCCTCATAATGACGGCCTCGGGAACAATGACGCCAAGGCCACACGTGTGGCCTGAGTGTGTGCCACTGCTGCGTCACAGGATGTTTATACAGCCTGAGATCAGAAAAGGAAGACACAGTGTGTGTCGGGGGTGTGTGTCCAGACCAGTGAGGAAATAAAGAAGACCACTTTACATTCTGTGGCCAGATGTACAGTGGAGAGTGATGTCTGCTATCAATCCCTAAAACTGCTCCTGAGCCTGATCTGGAGAATTTTAGGGGTTGCACAAGCACAAATGTGTTTTAAATGTTTAGAAAAGAATCAGATGTTGTTGTTTCCTAGTAGCACTGGTGACATAAACCCTTGTGTGACCATTGGCTCAGGGGTCAGAGATGTGTATGTGTGTGCATGCGTGTGTGAGATTAAAGTGGTGCCAATTTGTGATGCAGTATTTTTAGAAAGGAAGCCCGTACGCCGGTAATACTCCTCAGATCAGTCTAACCCTTTGCCTTCATTGTAGTATGATCCTACTTCAAAGCTGCCGGCAGGGACAGGATGAGATGGGGAGGGCTGTGATTCATTACCTCATTAATGCTGGGTGGAGATTCCGCTTTCTGTCACCTCTGACCTCTGGGCACTGGTGCCCCTAACACACTTCCACTCCACAAGAGACATCAAGGTAGAGATAATGTTTTTTGTTTAGTTTAGTTTAGTTTTTTTTTTAGGTCAATCAGCGTCAGATCATCAGAAATTCTTTTATGCATTTGATGGTACAGGCTCGTATTCTATGTGCACCTATAAAGGATCTTAGGACTTGTTTTGAGAGGTGCTATAGAAATTAAATTTACATTCCTAAACTGAATGATTTTCATGGGGCCCATAATAAAGTCATTAAACATCATGGCTGAATATGTGTATAGCATTCTGTCGGGCTCATACATTTTCTATGACTGGAGAAACAACAATCATAAGAAAGTGTAGCCTATCTACTGCATATACACAGCACTAAGACAGAGACGGAACATAAGGCTTCATACTGTGTTTACACACAAAGTGTCATACTCATTACATTTAAATATAATAACCAGGTGTTTCACATCAGCAGCTGAACCTGCATCATACTCATTACATTTAAAATAACCGGGTGTTTCACATCAGCAGCTGAACCTGCATTTTGTTATCTCTTTGCACTGTTTTTGGAATAAGACTAAAGCCTTGGTCGCAGGGTTTATAACAGTAATAAAAAATGTGTATGCCTTATGTCACGTTAGGTCCACTGACAGAGCCTTTATCACAAATGCAGGACAGGAAAGTGAATTTCAGGTGTTTTCTGTCTCATAAGGAGCAGAGGCATAGAGGAATTAGTCATCTTAACACCTGCTGTAAAGCTGCCTGAATCTAGATGGTTTATTTTATTTTTTAGCTTCTCTGTCTGACAGTGTCCTATGAACCTGCCACACCCCAGAAGCAGTTAAGGTGTGTTCAAAGGCAACACCGAGTCTTTCAAGTGTGTAGTGCTGTTGAATACATTTGCTCCTATCAGCTATGACTCAAGCCTGAAACCCTCCCAGTGACAATAAAGCCACATTCCGGCTTTCAGCAAAGAGGAAAGGGACTTTCCTGTCCTCCACTCCCTTCTACTGTTGCATGTCCGGCATTTGCGTAAGACATACTTTTGGTAAAAGGTGTCACATATACTTTTTGTGAGTCATAATGATGTACTAGCAGCAAGTGCAAAATACTTTGTAGGAAAAATGAAAATCAAGAGTTGAAGGGAGCATGAAGTTATGTCAAAAATGCTTGAATATTTATTCAAATAAATACACACTCAACACACACTGAAACAGTAAATAATTTAAACATCTCAAGCTCTTTGCCAGTAACACCATATTCTGGAAGCAAATAAATTAACATAATGGTTTTAGGAGTCATTCCTCCCAGCAGAGCAAACATGAAATAGCTTTTGACAATGATTCAGTCCTGCGTGTGGAGCTGCTGAAAATCTGTCTGTCGGTGTAGATCAGTTGCCCTGCCTCTCTGAGAGCTCAGTCCTGAACAATCCTTCATCTCTGGACCGGATGACCTCGTCTTCCTTTTGGTCCGTGTAGTATTAATTTTTTATGGTCCACATTGACACTGGGAGAAGATAAAAACATGTCATTAGTTTCAAGAGTCTTCCACTTTTCGCTTAGAACATTTGTTTTTAGTCATATTTATATATCGGCTATCGGTCTTGTCGACTAAATGTCATGATGTGTCTCTCACCATAATAGGAGCTTTTAAGTGCCAGTGTCCTCAGCGGCTCAGGGCGCCCTCGCCATGCGCCTTTCCTGCTGTCCGGGAGACGCGCTCTCAGTGTCCTGCCGCGTTTTAAAGTCCTCGATGGCCTTTCTGTTCTGGTAATCAATCAGAGCCATGGTGATCACGGCATTCCAGCAGTTCTCCTCTCCAGAGCACCGGAAATCGATCTCCTTATTGTCTGTGGTTACGATGGTGAAATAGACGAACTTGCCGGTGCGCTCCACGCAGTCCACCTTCTTGATGGACTGCAGCTTGAGCTCCTTGCCCTTGGAACGTTTCTGTGTGTCTGCGTAAATGTTGAGGCTATCCGTGGTCAGGACGCACGTCTTCCTCCTCCAGAACTGGAGCAGGTTGTCGCTCCTCTTCTCCAACTCTCCTTCCTTGAGAACCTGGCAGATCTCCGACGCTGACATTTTCATTGTTTATGGGGGGCAGGTTTGTGAACCCCTGCTTTTCTGGTGTCTTCTCAGCAGCCCTATGAAGGAGCTTTTCAGTAAAGGTTTTGGAAATCCAGAGTTCCGTTGTGAATGAACTGAGGTATGAGAGGACTTTTATAGCCCGGTCTGGCCTCAGCCCGCCCCACTTGACGTCAGATACTTTGGGAATGCTTCAGTTGCCGATGGGGTAATTCAGTGCTGTGTGTGGGCGAGAGCTGTGGCTCAGGAGGGGAGAGGGCAGAGGAAGTCCTAACGTGGACTCTATTACACAGCCAACATGTTAATTACTAATCCACATCCTGCTGCTGAGATTAATCCAAATATTCTCCCACTCAGCAGTAAGCCATTCAGTCTAATATACATCTAATTACCAGCGCGCACTTCTGGTAATTAGCCATATTACAGTCTGTTGTGCCATCCTGCTCTCCAGTGAATATTTCCTTCAGACAAAATGTCTTTCCCCTCAGTGGTGTTTTACATAAACTCTGCTATTCCTGTCTGTGGATGTCAAGCCACTGAAATACACCCAAACAGCCCACAAGCACAGTTTCCATTCAGTGAGCAGTTGATTCATCAGGCTGTACGTCATTAGCTACAAAAGGAGACTGAACTACAAAGTTCAATTACTGTTGCAGTACTGCAGCAGTTACAGAGCACAAAACAGACAGGAAGCAAAACAGTAGTTTGGGTTCATGCAGTGTTAACCATGGTTAGGTTCAGCACAAAACTAAGTTTCCCTCCTGCCATCTCAAAGTGTGAGTTAACTGAACTGGACTTAGTTGAAAGTTCTCTCATAAGTTGTAAACCAACTGAATTAAGTTAAATGACCTCAGTCATATTTTCTTCGATGAGTCAGTTCTTCATTTGACACAAGCAAACATCAAACTTTGACTCTTGCTAGAGCTGCATGTGCATGGGAGTCAGTACCAACAGCACCAAAAGCCATGGTGAACCCATTCGACACCCATTCTGCTAATAACCCCTGCATGAGTTCACCAGAGTACTGGAGCAGGATGTGGCAGCCTGTGATCTCAAAGAAAAGGAAACCATGTGTGTGTACGAAGCCACAGACCATGCTGGCTTCTGTTGAATGAAGAGGTGCACCACCGCCTCTGTACCATCCTCCCCTCTTTGTTTACCAAGTGTGCACATATGGGGTTTTGTCTGAAGGAATATTATGGTGGAGCCTCACAGACATGCCCAGGCTGTGACTCAGCATGTAGTGGAGCCTACTCTGGAGGAGTCTGCTTACCAAAGGAGGGTCAGGTGTGTGTGTGCATGTGAGTAGTGGTGTGTGCATGTGCATGCACTGGCATTATTTGGTCATTACTTATTTTCGTTGAGAATAGAGTAATAGCGAATTAAATGCAGGAGTATTACTACACTGATAATGTTTTTATTGCACTAATGAGAAATGATAGAACAAAAGAAGCAGCATTAGTATAATAAAAAGTAGTCAGCTATGTTTTAGAATAGAAATGATCCATATTCAGACAGCATACTCTCAGTTTTCCACACACTGAGTGTTGTGGCTCTTATATGCCTGTAATAAGCTCTCCACTAATCATATCCTGTGACTGTGGTGGCTGAGCTGGAGCACACAAAATTTAACAAACTACACAGCACGACTATGGAGCTACAGCAACAGTAAAACTCCAAAGTGTCACTATTGTCCTTATTTCACATGGTTGTGGGAGGTGGTGTGTTGTGACAACATGGGTTTATGTCAGCCCCCTCAGGTTCTCATTGTGTCCGCATAGACATAACAAATCCCCAGAGAGGAAGCAGCATAATGTGTCAGCTGCAACAACCGAGGACAGTTTTGATCATGAACGGAACTGATAAAAAACATGAGTAACTGAACACAAGGATAAGAAAAACAAGTTGTTCTCTTTTATTGTTTTTGTTTACTTCAGTGTGATGGAGCTTTGCTGCCGTGGGTGTGACAAGCCAGCGGGTGGAAGGACCAGAAAGGCCCAGAGTGTGGTGGACATGTTGAGGCATGAAAAACTGCTGCGTGTTTACTGTGAGTAACAACACTCAAAACTAACTCAAATGCAGAGGAAATCACCTCACGGAGCCCTGCTGGAATGAATTTTTACAGATTACCACTCTATGTATGTTAATACAAGACTGGTAGGAACAGATAATAAATCTGATCTGCTACACTCACTGGCAACAACAAGCTCACTCTTTGTAAAGAAATAAATCATGAAGTAATGCACTATTAAAATTCATTTAGACAGTTTATTTCTTATATATATATATATATTTATTACTGAATCAGTGAATTGCTGCACTAAAGATTTACAATCCCAGATCAAAGAGGCTCCTGAACAGGACAGCAGCAATAAGGTATAAATAAAGGCGTGGACTCTAAACTGTAACACCCAGCAGTTGCAACACACATAACATACAGATAGTAACAAAATGCAAAATCCTGGGCACAAAGGTTTGTCATCTTCTAACCCTGTTGAGGACAAAAAAAGACAGTGGCGTCCTAGGTGAATAAATCTTGGGACATGCACTCAACAAACAAACAAAAAGATTTGACACATTCCACATGCTAAAGAGCACATGCCAGGCGCTCATGCATGTGACTAAAACACCTGAATGGGTTATGGGACATGTTTATTAAGCTATTAAAAATGACCGACTTTGAGCTTGACTTGCATACATAGGCAACTGCTCCCACACACATTCAATCTATGGGCAATTTAGTCACCAAGCAACTAACCTGTATGTCCTTGCTCTGTCGGAGGAAGCCGAAAGAAACCTCATGGAACTTTGTGCTGCTTCACTGGTGAACATGGTGACAAACACACAAGCACTTGAATTATAGGTCTCTCTGAAGTTGTTCACATTCTACTTTGTTTTGCCTTCAGTGCTCATTTTGAGCATAATTTGTATATTTTATGCAAAAACTATTACATGGTGGACAAATAAGAGGTTTTACTATGAAGAAGAAACATTTCTGATTTATTATTTTTATTATTTTTTAATTATTATTTTAATGTCAAGGGATGTCTTTGTTTCAGTAACACTGGAGGAAATGATTCCAGTGGAGGCACCTGAAGGCCCCAGAGTGTTTCTTCTGCCATGTATCTGTACTGTACTAGCTGGAAGACAACTTGGTTATAACTCAGTGGGACATGGAATTATTAGAAACAAATGGAGTTTAATACAGAGAACAATAGTTTAAGTTCCAATATGTTATCTGTTGAAGTAAAACATGTGATGGATTTTACAGTTCTTACAGTATTATACTAAGGGCACATTTATTTATTGCTAGTTAAACATAGCCTCACTACATATTTGGAAAATCATTTCAAACTTTCATTTTCTTTAACTCGGCTTTTGGATTTGCTCATGTACAGGTAAGTGAATGTGATATTTAGCGTTCATGTTTCTGTGTGTGTTTATGTACAATGCACGGCCAAACATAGTCACTCACAGCGGGGAGGCAGTTTGGATCAGTCGGCTGTGATGGGTTGTTGACAACCCACAGGTAACAGCTGCATACGGTGACAGGTTTATGACTTGGATCTGTCTCTCTCTCTCTCTCTCATACACACACACACACACACATTTTTTTCTGCTCAGTGACATGCCCTTGTGATGGGACTCTGGAGATATTTGAGGCATTGTTCTGATAAGCCTTGTGTGTGTGTCTGTGGCCACGCCGGCATTTAGCAGCGTGGGAAAAAGAACAAATGGCTGATGAGGGCTGTGTGCACAGTCAAACACAATGCTACACCAGCAACCGTTGGAGGACAATGAAAACAGACATGGCTGCTGTCATTCACTCTGTACTGTCTTATGTGGAACTGGGCAGTTACTGTGTGATGGCAGAGGTAGGGATGGCAAAAAATCTAGGTGTCATTCTTCATAATCAGTCAGCCAGCTTTGTTGTTTGCTTGTTTTGTTTTTTGTTATGCTACTGCCAGGCACTTATTTAGTGATGGTAGAACTGTTAAGATGTTTAAACTTAAAGTATCAAGACAAGAATGTAAAATACGTCAAGTATATGCAAGTCTTGTACTGAAAATTTAAGAAAACTACAATTGAGAAGTATTATTTATTTTGCATTTAAGTATCAACTATTATTAATTATTATCGCTTCTCAGTTGTACAGTATGCCTCCGCCAACCAGTCAAATTCATGGGAATGGGACAGACCTTTGACCACCAAAATCTAAGTAGTTTACCCTTGAGTCCAAGTGGACCCCAAAAACATAATGCCTCCAGCCACAGCCATCACCAGAGGCATAAAAATAAACAAGCTCATTATGTGGAATAACAACTGTTGGAGATTTATACTGTAGATTTTAATGAATTATTACTGTTGCATTAACAAATAAGCAGCATTTAAATAGTGTAGCTTGCTGAGAAAGGGTTAATTTTGACTACTATGTTGACTTTGTGGTTGCAAAAATGCATCAAGATGTTCATTGTTTTATTATAAATAAATAAAAAGACTAATATTTCAAAGTACAAAGAAGCATGGAAAAGAAAGAAAAGTACATCAAGATTGTGATGATGTATACAGTATTTGAATGGAAGTATTCCCCTTTGCTGGTCTTATCACTACATGTATTTCCAGAATGCTGTTCAGCTGGAGGAAACAATCTCACACATGGCATAGTAAATGCACAGATTGTTTTGTCTTACTATCATTAACACATTCTTCAACACAAAGGTGTGTGAACCAGTAGTGTGTGTTAACCGCGGTTCCTTCACATGCCACACAAACCAACTGAAAAGACTCCCGCCCGCAAGCGAGTTTCCAAGAGTCCGGCACCTCATTCTTGCCAATTTGACTTTGCAAAGAATGGTATGCAGGTCTGCCATCCATCTCCCTGCCAGGAATGTTGCATTGCTGTCCACATAGCTTCACGGTGGCTTATGTGATAAATCTGGAGTCTTTCCATAGAACTATCACTAATGCGTGGTGGAAGCAGGGCCACAGTCCGAACCTGACGGTTTAACCTCTTTGATCTCGTGCTGTGCAACTCTGAGCTACGACTATAGGGTTTATTTAAATGATACTTTTTTCACAAGCTTGTCCATTAATGCAGACTTGTACTAGAACACTAAAACAATGCCTCGTTGTCTGCTTTCATAAAGCCAGCATGAGTCAGGAAATTCTCTTGAATGCTCGCTCATTTATGCAGAAATGACAGAACAAGTGTAATTTTGTCTAAATTTGTCAGATCATGTCGTCAGATTCTTTTAATGATTACATTGATAACCTCATTCTCTAAGACTTAACCAGGAATAACCTATGTGATGCCACATTTTTTTCGTGCCTCCTTTTGTCTACTCTTTTGTCTAACTTAATACCTGTTCATGGAGTCCAGATCTGACTGACAGGTGGAAGTCAAGAAATGTGATTCAGGTTAAACATACCACACCCATAGTTCCTTCACTGAGCCATTCATAAATCCAGACAAAGGAACCCCGCCCTGTGATTTGGCTTGAAGCTTGCTTTCCCACACATACCAGGTAGAAAGGTAACTGGCGATAAGCAAATCAGATTAGTTTGGTTATAATGAACATTGTTTATATTCTTACATAAGTCACACACAGATGAACAGCAAAGACCAACTGCGCCTGGTTGCCAAGTCTCTCCCATGTAACAGCAGGTGCAGAGCCTTTTATAACTTTGGCACATTCATTTTTTTCCATAATGTAAAACCAATTTTGTACTTGGCATCTGTTAAATGTTTTATTTCCCCTTCCTGTGCACATTCTCCCCATACTGCATTTACTCCCACAGTCCAGAGAGACATGCTAGTCAGGTAGAGTTGATATACCAGTAGACTCCAACCAGCAGTCAAAATCCCTCCATATCCCCACATCCTGATGCCCATATCCAACATTCAAACAATCAGGACAAGATGACTGGAGGGTTTTGAAGGAGTGTGGGCCCAAATGAAACCCACGCTGTTAGTCACAGTGTGTTTGGTCTCAGTCCTGGAGGAAATTATGCACTGCTCGCTCCAAGGACGCTGCCTTCCCCCAAACAGTCCCCAAGAACAGTGTGTTCTTGTTTGCTGTCAGGTATTTTTTTATGTGCAGCTGGTCCTGCTGAGACAAGTTGTAGTGACAGCAGAACTACTTTGCATGTTTATTAATACATTTCTCAACCTTTGATTTGAAGAACACATCTTTTTTTATCACCATGTTTTGTCTTGTTTCTTGATGGAATCTTTCACTTAAAAAGTAACATTTGGCATTTCCTATTCCCCACCAGGTAAACAGGACCAAGACATCAAAGCAGCTCTTTCCCACTTTCTTGCTAATGATCAAGTAATCATGGTTGTTTTTAACCCACAAAATGCATAACATACAGATTAAACTTTAAAAACGGGTTTCATTTTGGAGTGACTTCCACAATTATGCTAGCAGCTCTGTGATGCTGTACTGAGGCACAGCACTACTTTCAGCTAAATGCTAATATTAGAATGCTAACAACCTCAAAGTGACAATACTAACAACATTATAATTTATAATGTTGAGTTCATGCATCAGCTCCACCAGCAGGCTAACATGATCACATCTCAGAGGTAATGGGCTCTTTATCATGCTGCCAGATCAGCTCATTCACTTGTGAACACCAACCCAGGGTCAGCAGCATAAAGCACTTCTCTATTCCCTTCTATCACAGGAACTCAATTTGGCTCACATCTCTTCCAGTTTCCGGAGGGGACGACATAAAAGACCCCACACAGACAAACTCGTTCACACTCGTGTGTATCTCACGTACATGTAGAAGAGCTGCCAAAAGCACCTCAGGGCCAAGAGTGGGACGGGTGGGTGCAGCTGCAGCTGGGAAGAAGACTGCATCCTTCACACTTCTGCTGGATGAGGATGAGACGACAGCAGACGTTTAGGGATAATCCCAACAGTCTGAATACATCTCTTTGTTCTGCTGCACAGTGTAGAGACCGTCTCCTAATAGATTTCTTTTATGCTTGTTGATACAGTTAAACATCCTCTGTCCATCCATCCCTGCACACACACACATACACACTTGAGAATACATCAAAGAGAGCATGAGAAGCATGCAGAAGCCTCAGTGTATTCTCAGTCTCCTTCTGTCAACAGGACCAAATGAGATGATCTGCCTCATGAATAGTCCGTTCAGTTCCAGAGATCCTTCTCACTGTATGGATCTCAACACGTCACCTTTCCATCGCAGCAGGGTGTGTCTGGTGCTGCACCTGGGTTTGCTTGTGATCTAAAATGTGAAAAATATTGTTCATAATGTAGACGGAAACTATTCAAACATAACTTCAGGCACTCTTCTAATCGAGTCACTAAACCTCAAGCCTCGAGTCCCCAGTGTTCGAGCCTATTATATATATCTATATATTATATACACCATATTTTCTGAGATGCCTTAGTCTGATAGGTTTACACATGTACAATTTATCATGTCATATGTGTATGGTGTGCTACTACTTGGTTATGTAACTATACTGATGGTATACATAGCAAATTGATGCAGACACCTTAGATATTAGTGTAATCCATAAGCAGAAGGCTCAGAAATCAGCCTTCAGACACAGACTTCTTGTTATACTGAGACAATCCTGTCACCCACAGTGGCCTCAGTATGAATAGTGTCTTGTTCACAAGTCTGCAGAACAAAATTCCAAAAAGTACATTGAGACTGGAGAGATTTCAGTCCATCATTTGTCTATGCCGTTCCCTTCCAAGCATCAAAACCCTCATACGTTTTTAGAAATTATATTAATAAAAGTACTATGCCTTCAGTGTTGACAGTGACCTAGTCTGTCACCATCTTGATCTAATCCAGATTTTTGTTTTCTCACATGATCACGTTATCCCCTCTGTTCCCATGAAGATACAAGTTTATTAAGTGCTGCCGAACAAGGTGACAGGAAAAGAAAGCACCTGTCTCTCAGCACTTGGCAGAAAAGTTAGGTTGCTAGGACACACAGTCGCCATCCTCCTTCAGAAACTTCAGAGTACTCAGCCCTCATTTCCCACAATACATTATAAGGGGCTCTCTGAGGAGCATACATGCTGCCTCTATCAGCAAGACAGGATTCCAGACATTCTGGCTGTCTTGACTGACGCTGGGCAGACTGTAAGTAAATTCCTCCAGCCTGGATACAACGTCACCATGCAAACAAAGGATCCATTTCTCTGCTCAGCACTTAGAAACCATGACCGCACGCTTTGCTCTAAGCACTTGCCAATCATCACCTGCTACCTAATAGTGAAGTCAGTGTGTGTGGCTATTCAGTGTCCTGTCACATTGTGCTGTCAACAACAAATACATTCAGTCAAGGAAAGTTACCCGTGCACACAGTCTCTATAGCGAGAGCAATGTGAACTGGTCAGCAAGACCAGTCTTACTGGGCACTACTGGGCCAGAGCTTTCTCAACATGTCTGTTCACAGAAAACCTTACATGTCACTTTTGGCAAAGCGCATGTTCATGATGGCTGCATCCCATTTAGCTCCTTCAGTTTCAAGGTCCTGGTACTGTGCATGCTGTCTGTCACACTAACAAGTCTGGGTGTCTGCTGTTACTCTGTGAACCTAAAACTTTACTTCCACAACTTTCTTAGTCACCAGGCAACAGCAGCATCCCCTGTCCCCTGAACTGACATGTAACCTGTAGTTAAGGGTTCAAAGTGGTCACTCCTTTAAAGGGGCCATAAGGTGAAAAGGTCATGAACCTCTGCTTTACCACACTAGTAAACCCACAGATGACACGCAAACACATACACAAAACAACACACTTCCATGTTTCACAACTTTAATAGAATATTTTAACTCTGTACAAATTGAAAAGAAATATTGCGCAAGTAACAAATTGTAAATAAGAACCCAGTTAAGGCCATTGCTAGCACACGGTCCAATGTAATAGATGTGACAGCGTCAACCGTGGCTCGGAGATCTGTCTAACAAGATCTACAATCATTCTTTTTAAAAAGACAGAAGGGGTGGGTATTATTCACTGTAGCTGCTATCGATTACCAGTCACTCAGGCAAAGGTATCCAACTAAATATGCACATATTACATTGGCAACATCCTCCATTTGTTTCCACAGACACTCTACTGAATCATTAGACACTAACAGAAATACTCATATCCTCTTAAACAACTTTAAACAATGAGTTAGGTTACATGTTAATAAAAAAGACAGGGTGTGTTGTCTTTCATTTTGGCTCCTTGGCAACATAATTCCCATTTGATCTGAACATGCTGCACCTGGTCCGAATGACATTTGTTAAGGACTAGATATATACCAGAAGTGGTACCTTATAACCAGCCACACAATGTTGAGGGGTAGTCATTGGGTCTGCTCAGATCTGTCATCACTGAGAAAAATATTCAGACTACATGTGATGCTTGGATTTCATGGGTGGCTGGGCAAACAGGGAAGAGCAATACATTTCTGAGGTGTAACCACATGCCCGTCACATGGTCTTAGAGTTGAGTGTCCACTCAAGTGCTCAGGTTAAATTGCTTGTAAAGCCCGACAGCTGGGCAAAAGTGAGCAATACTAACAGAAAATGCAATTCTTCAGTGACTTTTTGATCAGTTAAAAAATGACTTGGCAGTATTTGTGTTTTGATGACCTAATCAGCTCAAATAAGATTTGACACAATGACCCTCTAACTGTGGCTGGGCCTTAAAAAGTTCCCAGAATGCACCACCTCATACAGCTGCATGACACCAGAATAAATAACCCAATGGCATGACAATAAACATTAAAAAATGTAAATTTAATTCAAAATGATACATTGCATGTCTCTTAAAAACACCATAACAAAAGAAAAACACTTCAGCAACCCCAGTGAAAGATTAAGCCAAACTTGTTCAACAGTTTCCTGGAAAACTATCACTTCTCTTGATGGCATTAAAAAACCCTGAGTAACTGATTTATATCCATGGAAACTAAACGTGAAATCCATTCCTGTCCTGTTTTCCAGATGACGATGTTCTGAGTTTCCTGGCAGTAGTAAACTACTCCACCTTACCAAAGAACAAGACTGTCCCTATGTGATGCCATGGCATTTTAGAGTCAAGCCACTTCCCGCTCTTAACTCAAATGAAACCGAATTAAATGGGCCGAGATGAGTGCAAGACAAAAGAAAAACAAGTCATGCACATAGTAAAAACACAGTTTGGTTTGCGTTCTATTGCGTTCAGATGAGAGTCTATAAAATGGCAGAACCTGCAAGAGTAGGAGGACTTGTTGATTGGCTAAGAACTGATTTGATAGACAGCAGGTCTCCACCTCCCCTGATCACCATGGTTACTGCTGTTTGCATTCAGCAGGCTGGGGTTGTTCTTTCTGTGGGGAATAGACAGAGGAACCACATTAGAAAATAAGACAGAAAAGCTAATGAAGCCTCTAGGCATTAACAAGAAACTAGAAGCTAAGAAGAAAGCTGACACTTAAGAACGGAAGCATCTGGTTTGGTAGAGCAAAGAGAACAATGTTAGAAACCTGGGATAGGACTACTGGAGGGACAACAGCTGACAAAAGGAAAGACGGGAACAGGCAAACAGAAGTCAAGATGCAAGTTAGGCATCCTAGACGCCCCCCAGTACTGAGAGAATTAAGGATGTAGTGAAAGAGAGAGGCAGCCAGGATAATAAACCAAAGCCAGTGGAGAGGACAGCGCATGTTTGCAGGACACCATCCTCATTTCTCCCTTACCTAGAAATACATGGGGTGAGAATGACTGATTATGCCTGTAATGGAGGGGGGCCCAGGAGAGGGAGAGACAACAATACACACAAGTTTAACTGTCAGATTCAGAAATGACACGGAGCATCAGCAAAACATTGCTGAGGTTGGTGAATGAGCAACCTGAATTCCTGAAGCAAAATGAGTAAGCGATGAGCTGCCATCAGGTACCATGAGAGAGAAAACACAGCCAGCTCTTAATGAAGCATCATTTTTAGTCACTCCCACAAAAACCGATCACAGGACATGTTATGCACATTGTCAGGCTGGAACAGCTCATAATGGTGCATCACCATGTTAACTAAACACCAACACAAACGCTTCTTTCTCTGGCTGTCATTGCACAGTATTTGTAGCCTCAGAAAGTAAGTGCAGAAAAAGCAAACACAAAGGGAGAATTTTATCTCTGCACATGTGATGATACTCAATAATTAAGAACACAGTAAATGACCGAGTATCACTATGAGGTGTCTTCACCTCAAAGGGAAAAAAAAAAAAAAAAAAAAAAAAAACATGCTCGAGCCCTTGTCTCCAACTTTTGAGTCCGAATGCAGTCAACGCTCGAGTCCAAGTTGTCAGTGCTCGAATCCAAATTGATTCACAAGTCCTGAAAATCTGGACAAGTCCAAACCTTGGACTCGAGTACTACACCACTAACTGACACAGTTCCTTTTGTAAAATTAATTGCTAAGAAAATATTACACAAAATACCAGTCAAACATTTGGACACGTTTTCCCATTGAATTGAATGGGAAAGTCCAAACATTTGACTGGTAGTGTACTTTGTGTACACTGACCCATCATTAGTGTGCTTATATTTAGCAAACTGCAGTATGTCAGACTGACACCAGTACAGTATTTTGTTGTGAGCTAGTATAAAAGACAAAGTTGGACTGAATTGTATATTCAGTCCAGGTACCAGACAGTGACACCATCTAGGGTATATTAAATAATGATGGCCGACTCACGCCAGTGGCAGGGGCTCACTCAGTGCTGCCAGTTTCAGTCACTTCAGTCTGTACTACGATGGGTGCTGTCTGAATGTTGACCCTCACTGACACAAACACAAGTCTTCATACAATGTTTATTTGGTGGCTTTTGATTACACAGTAGATATAACAGTTCAATTTGTGATAACAAACTGTCTTTATATATTTTTTAAATTAAATATTAAAGATGAAGAAAAAAGAAGCGCAGGATAAAAACTGACCTTGGGGTCCAAGTCTCCCTCATCATCATCATCATCATCATCACCTTCTTCATCCTGCTCCTGAGACACAAAAACAAGACAATTCCACATGATGCTACAAACCCTTGTAAAAAAAAAAAAACAAAAAAAAAAAAACATGATTCCAATTTGGAAAATGTGTATGGTGGTACACTTGTGCAACAAAGTCCCAGCTATGTGGGATTTCAGATCAAACGTTTGACAAAACCAACCTCTTCATCACCCTCTTCCAGCTCCTCCTCTTCAAACTGCAAAAATCATCAATAAAATCAGTCAACATTCACAAGATTCAATCTACAAACTAGGCCTGGAGAAAAATAAACAAACACGTTTCAGATTAATTACAATTCTTACAAGTCCAGATATCACTATTTGCATGTGCACATTTTCTCTGTAAACATGTACAACTGTGCTAAATGTTACGTGCATACAGAAATTCAAATATAATAAAATATCCTTTTGGTGGAAAAAGGAGCTAACGCTTGCTAGCAGCTGTCTGCAGATGTGTCAGGCTGATGGCAACACAAACAGTGCAGATGAATCAGTTTCTGTCACAAATGTGCTCAAACTGATCATTAAAGTGGACGTGGACTTAGTTGAAGCATCTGCTGCTGTATGTAGCTGTATGAGATAGCATGTATTTTCAAATTATTTGTAAGGATGACACCCTTGTTAGTGGTGCAGGGTTTTTATTATTCCCACTCAACTGTTTTGCATGTGCACCTAAATAATATTGATTTGTCATGTTTAAGTAGTTTTGCATTTTCTGTGGAAAATAAATCCATGAAATTTTGTCCATAATGTGAAGTTCACATAGTTTTATAAATCAAATAAAAATTCATGGAACCAAAATTTATCAAACAGGAAATCAGTATCAATATCCAGCCTTACTACAAACATCCAATCTTGTGGCTTGAGTATTGAAGCTTTTCTGTGTTTGTGTGCGAGAGATCCCCCCCCCCCAACAAAAGAAACACTCACACTTTCGTCATCTTCCAGGGCCTCTCCAGTGAAATACAGCACTGCTCTGGGAATTATTCTCTCACGGAAGAAATGACCAATCTCAAAGTCTGTGGCTAGGGTGAACTCAGACTCTTCATCCTAGGAAATATCACAGACCTACAGCTACTAATCTGACAGACAGTAATGGAAAAACTATAGAATGAGGGGTGACTTTATGAAGAATTAAGCTACACTGTACTCACCATTTCTACACCTGGTGAAGCTGTAAGGGAAAGCACATGTAAATTTAAGTAATAAGCACCTCAACACACTCCTTAAAATTACAAAAATATATATATTTTAAAGGAGTCATGAAAAGTGGTAGGTTCATGTTTTAATTACCACTTAGGTCAACAGTCACAGTGCGGATGTTACATGTTTGAGTTGCACCTAGGGTGGCGTTTGCATTTGCTGTAACTCAATCAACATCTGAGAGTCCATTTAAGGCAAAGACTATAGTTATGATAAATGACATCACAACTTGAGATCACACCACAGATGCAGTGACATGCCATTAGCAAACAGCTGTGCTCCACCACCCTGACAATAAACTGACTCCTCCTCCTTCAACAACACAGTAATAGGGGAAACTGCATTGAATGATGGTTCTGTGCACATCACAGTGTGAGCACACCTAATGAAACCTTCAACCAGTAAAGAAATACGCGACAAATCCTTTCACATGTCTGAGGAGGACCATGCTTCAGTTCGGTCACATGCCGTTTGTGTGGGTTATCACATGATCAAGGAATTAATGGACATCCCAGCCCTGGAGCTACACACCTGAATCCACGTGACAGAGCTATTTATATTCACCAGTCATATACTGAGGCATGACTGAACCTGTGAAACATTTGCTCAGCCAGTGAGTGATCAGGTCAACTTCTCAAAGTCAGAATGAGACCAGACATGTCAGAGAGGCAAGTTGACTAAACACAAAAGACATTAAATAAAAGTATATACTTCCTTACTGATACTCTGAAAGAGGATTATTCATTTCAAGGTATCCGACTTAAATGATATGTCGCTGTTGCACTGCACCAGTAATGTTACATTATGTACTAAGGTTTTAGTTTTATCATGCAAATAAACTAGCATTAGACACAGTTATTATATAATGTAACATTTGTTATTCTGTTGAACACAACTAAAAGTGTTTCCTTCAATTAATCTTTGGTATTTCCTCCACTCTGAGTACTGCATTTGTGATTTGTCCACTTTTACTACTGCTTCTTAATTTATTCTTTCAGTTCTCTTTGATACATTTATTCTTGAAAGACATGTGAAAAGTAGACTTAGTACTTAAGAATTATTTCCAATGCAGCTCCATAATGTCTAAGATAATTTAAGACAGTGGCTAGACAGACTGTGCTTTTATTAGCGGTCTAAGATGATCAGGAAATAATAAAACCAAAGTTACAAATATGAGTGAGCATAGCTTTGTGTACTAAGTCCAACTCCAGTGAGCAACAGCCAGGCTACAGGTGCCACCCACACACTGCTTAGTGACTGTACATGGTATAGGTTTCGGGCGCCATCTGCTGCTGAATTCAGCTCTATGCAGTGACAAATGCTAAAACCATGTGACATGCATGTTGCTGTACTGTGGAGCAGGTGCATTTGTATGTGGCTCTCCCTCTGTTTTCTCAAGGATTCTGTATACAACATGAGTACAACACTAACAGAGCAGAGTTTTGAGTTTAAATCGTTACTGGTGTGTGAGATGCATACACATTTGTTGAAAGAAGTAAGAGTAATTACTCCGACTTACTGACATTTACATTTCAGAAGAAATTTGCAACATATTGTGTGTTTATTTCTGGGTGATCTCACCTTTGATAGGATTAAAGAAATTGAAGAAAGAGTCATTGGGGACCTGTTTGGTAACAGTGCGAACAGTGCCACGGCCTTTATGCTTCTGCTTCTTCTTAATAGTTTTCACTGTGACATCCTTCCCTTTGTGCCAATCTATCTGACAGCTAGAGCAAGAAGGTGTTAAGAGTTAAGAGGCAGAAGAAAGCAAGACAAAAAG